AGACAGCTTATATTGGAGAGGATGTGGAACAAGGGGAACACTCCTCCACTGTTGGTGGGAGTGCAATCTTTACAGCCACTCTGGAAATCAGTATGGCGGTTTCTCAGAAAATTGAGAATAAGTCTTCCTTAAGACCCAGCTATACCACTCTTGGGCATATACCCAAGGAATGATCAATCTTACCACAAGGAGACATGCTCAATCATGTTCATATCAGCATTATTCATAATAGCCAGAACCTGGAAACAACCTAGATGCCCCTCAACTGAAGAACGGATAAAGAGAATATGGCACATATACACAATGAAGTACTACTCAGCAGTAAAAAAACAATGTCATTATGCAATTTGCAAGCAAATGGATGGAACTAGAAAATATCATCCCGAGTGAGGTAACCTAGACTCAGAAGGACAAACATAGTATGTACTCACTCATAAGTGGATACTAGATGTGAGGGAAGGGATGGTCAAACTGCAACCCACAGCTCCAGAGAGGCTAGCTAGCAGGGAAAGAGTCTAAGAGGGACAAATGGATGGCCCATCGAAGGAGAAGTGGAGGAGAGCTACATGAGCAGACTGGGAGTGGGGGAGGGCAAGGAGTGGGGAATGAGAACATAGGGAAATGGGAGGGTCGAGCTGGAACAGGGACAGAGTGGGACGGCAGGGAGGGAGATACCATGATAGATGAGGACATCATGGGAATAGGAAGAGGCAGGGTGCTGGGGAGGCTCTCAGGAATCCACAAGGATGACCCCACCTTGGAATGCTGGCAGTGGTCTAGAGGGTACCTGGACTGGTCTACTCTAGTGACCAGTCTAGTGAATACCCTAACCGTGATCATAGAGCCTTTGTGCAGTGACTGATGGAGGCAGATGCAGAGATCCACAGTCAGGCGCCAGGCTGAATCCAATTGATGAGAGAGAGGAGGGATTCTGCAGGCAGGGGACGTGGAGATCATGATGGTAAGATGTGCAGAGATGACCGGTCACACTAGTGGAAGCCCATGAACTGTAGACTAGTGGCCGTGGAGCCCCCATGGGACTGGACTAGGCCCTCTGGATATGGAAGATGGTTGTTTGGTTCAAACTGTTTGGGGGGTACCCAGGCAGGGGGATCGGGATCCATCCCTGGTGTATGGGCGGGCTTTTGGGAGCCCGGTGCCTGTGGAGTGACGCCCTACGCAGCCTTGGTGCAGTGGTGAGGGGCTTGGACCTGCCTAGGCTCAGTGTGCCGGACTCTGCTGACTCCCCATGGGAGACCTTGATTTTGGGGATGTGGGGATGTGGGGTGGCTTGGGAGGGAGGGCTGGAGAGTGGGAGGAGGGAAGAGGGGGGATATGTGGGTGGTATGTAGAGTGAGTAGAAAATTTCTTAATAAAGAAAAAGAAATAAAAGAGTAAAATCTGTCTATATGCTATGTACATGAAACCTACTTTAAATAAAAGACTCCAGAAAAGACAAGTGGGAAATTCATTCATGTGTTTCTGCTGGCTACTGTGCTGTGTGCTTCTTTTCTTGCCTGATTTTGTTATAAAGTTGTAATCCTGAGTAGAACAGCTCTGAGTTCTATTGAGTCTTCCCAGAGCAGTGCTTCTCAACCTTCCTGATGCTATGATTCTTTAATACAGTTCCTCATGTTGTGCTGACCCCCAACCATAAAATTATTTTCGTTGCTACTTCATACCAGTAATTTCGCTACTTCTACAAATCATAATGTAAATGCCTATGTTTAACAATGGTCTTAGGCAACCCCAATAAAAGGGTCGTTCTACTGGAGATGGAGGAGGAGTGGAGGGAATAGGAGAAGAGAGAGGGGAAACTATAGTCAGTATGTAAAATAAAATGAAAAAATTTAATTAATAAGAAAATTAAAATTAAAAAATTTACAAAGTGTTATCCTACTCCCAAAGGGGTCATGACCCACAGGTTGAGAACCACCATCCTAGAAGAATATCAAACACAAGAATGTCTTGAGGATTCTCAAACTCTGCAACCCAAAAATGACTTTAGGAAATTGCATTTCCATATACAAGTAATAAATAACAGGAAATGAAAATTTTAAGCTGCAATAACATCAAAATATGAAATACTTATAGATATTTAAGAATCTACGTTGATCATATATTGTGATATATTGGTCTCATATCAATAGACTGTATATAACCTACAAAGCTGAAAAAAATCAAAGAAAATAAAGTGATAGTGATCAGAATAATACGATACTGGCACCAAGACAAATCAATTTTTAAATGAATTATTTTTATTTTTTAAGTATTTTATTTGGGGGTGTATCATATGCATATGTGTATACATGTGTAACTTGCCATGGCATACATGTGGAAGTCAAAGGACAACTTGTGTAAGTCAGATCTGTCCTTCTACAATGTGGGTCCCTGAGATTGAACTGAGGTCCTCAGGCTTGATGGTAAATGCCTTTACCCAATAAGCTTTATGTTGGCCAAAAGACAGATCAATTTAATGTACAGATGGTAAATTGATTTTTAATACAAGTATAAAGACATGGGATTAAAGCACACCCTGTTTCATTCCCTTTTCATGTATGTTTATATTGTTTCTACTTTTAGGTATTATAAATAAAACTAGGAACATTTGCGTGAAAATTTTTGTATAAGCATCTGCTTTCATTCACTTGTTTAAGTGCCAATAAATAGTATGGCTGAGGCATACTACAAGTTTGGTGGTATACAATACCACTTGGGAGATAGAGGAAAGAGCATCACAAGTTCTGGGCCATGCTGAGCCATAGATCCCATTGCAAAACAAAACCAAAACACACAAAAAAAGCCTCTTAAAACTCAATACTATAAAAAAAATTGACAACTTCACAGGGGAAAAACACAGAATTTAATAGAAGACAAATCTAAGTGGTAAATAAATACATGTAAAACTTTTCAGTTTTACCCCTATTTGGGAAAACGCAAACAAAGATCACAATGAGAAAACCACTATCTTCAAAGATTGGCAAGAAGTTACCAGGATGGCAACAAAAAACATGGTCAAGGATGTAGTGCAACAGCTACACTTGGTCCTTGTTGACAAGTGTAGCCACTTTTGGGCAGCAGTCTGACACCTCATCAAGTTGAAGATATATACACCCAATGACTTAGCAACTCCTAAGCTGGGCGGTGGTGGCGCACGCCTTTAATCCCAGCACTCGAGAGGCAGAGCCAGGAGGATCTCTGTGAGTTCGAGGCCAGCCTAGGCTACAGAGTGAGTTCCAGGAAAGGCGCAAAGCTACACAGAGAAACCCTGTCTAGAAAAACAAAAAAAAACAAAACAAAAAAAAAGACTTAGCAACTACTAGGTACATACACCAAAGAAATATGTACCCATGCTCAATAGGAAATTTGTATAAGAATTTTATTTTGCCAAGTGGTGGTGGCACATGCCTTTAATTTCAGCACTCTGGAGGCAGAGGCAGGCGGATCTCTGAGTTCAAGGACAGTGTGGTCTACCAAGCTAATTCCAGGACAATGAGGACTATACAGAGAAACCCTGTCACATACAAAAAAATTTCATGTCAGCATTGTCTGCATTATTCAAAAATTGAAAAAGGTCAATATCAGACATCAACTGGGCAAAAATATACTATAGTATATTCATATAATGGAATTCTAAATACAAATGACAGTAAGAAATTACAGCTTCATATGATATGGTTGAATATAGAAAGCATCAAAAATGCAAGAACCAAAAGAATTCATAGTAATTGTGTTTATTCAAAGTTCAAAACTACAATAAATTATTAAAATCATAAAGGCAAAGAAACAACTCCCCAACAACTTTTAGAGTTCTGGGGGATACTAGCTGTATTTTTTAGCCTCAGTGGTTGTTAAATGTGAGTTTGTTCTCCAACTATTCCATATAGACACTGTTCTGTGTATTTGTATTACAATAAGATTTTTCAAATGGAGTTTCTGAGATTGATGGATTGGTTATTCACTCACTAAACTGGCTACTAGCATGATAAACATAATAAAAAATGAAAACTGACACATTAACATCTGACACAGATAATGTAAGTGGATAGCTTCTTAATCTACCACTTGCTGACTGTGTAGCCTTGATCTAAAATCTAGATTCTAGATAAACATTCTGAGCCTCAGTTTCTATAAAAAGCAGAGATATTAAAAGTACTAAGTTTAGAGTCATTTTTAAAAAGGAAATGAGATATCTATATATAAACTTAAAATAGTGCCTGACTTGTATCAAGTACCTACATGCAAGGGTTTTGGCACCAGACATAACCATTCCATGGTATCGTAAAGGGGACAGTATTTATTGTAGATATGAGAGAAAGAACAGCCAGAAGCATTTGGAAGAGTCCAGAGCAGAAAGAGGAGTAGATTAAATTAAATATGGCCAGCAGACTGGACATGGCTAAGGCTATCTAGAGAGAGGAGAATAGCAGAGAGAGAGCATAGTAAGAACAGCAAGATCAGAGAATAGTTAGAATAGCCAGATTATAAGAAAGGTGAGTAGTTGGGGGAAGGGAAAGGCCAAGAGATAGGCGTGAGGGTTTGGAAATATATACAACAAGTACTTGTGAGTAAAGGACTGAGGGACCCTGGGGACTAGCATGGACCTTGATATGCTGATAGGTGCCACTAGTATATGTTAATTGGACAGCCATATGTCTCTTTTGTCAGAAGTAAGGGAAATGACTCCTTTTGGCAGAAGAGAACCAACTTCACAAGTTCCTGAGGAATGCTAGCCTTTATCTAGTCACCAGAAATTCTCCTATAGTTCAGGTTGAGTTCATTTCTGTATATTTGGACCATCTTTTGGAGTTTGGGGAATTGAAGTGTCCTTTGGGTCTGACAGTAGCACACATAAACACCAATAGTCCTTTAATTTGATGGTTCACTACATGTATTGACCAATTTCAGTGAAGTCAGTGTGTTTTAACTAATTAGACAGCTTCTGTAACTATGCTACTAAATCAGGCACAAAAGAACTAAAAATCTTTAACACCACTTACCATCCAGTAACACCTCCAATTAACAGCTGAGTTGCTACACTATACTTTTCAGCTGATGGCCCAGATTCCTGCCCAAACAGCTTACGCCACCATGGTTGCTTTTTAGTTAATTCTGCAAGATCTAGTGCCTCAAGTTTTCCATCAAAGTTTCCTATAAGAGAATTAAGATATGCAATTAATGGTTGCTAAGAAAGGAGGAGACATTTTCTTCAGTGGTATAGCCAATGGCAAAGTGCCTATGCTGTAGTAAATAAACTCTCATCCATGTTCCTGTAAACAACTCTAATGAAACTCAATGGGTCATCAAAAACAAAGTACAGTGAAGACAAGATATAACAATTGAAGGGGGACTATTTTTGAAAAGGATGGGGATCAGCAGGAATAGGGAAGGACAAAAAAGTTATGGGGCGTAAATATGATCAAAACACATATAGATGTATGAAAAGTCATAATAAAATCCATCATTGCTTATGATTAATATATACTAATAAAAAACTAAAAAAGAACTAAAATAAGAAAATATTTACTTTTATAATAAATTACCACCATTCTTAACTAGATTAAGAGATTTTTAAGGAATACAGATACACAAATATTCTATTTTAAATAGTTGGAATTTTGGAAAATCTGACTAAAATAAATTATTGGACTTCTATTGTTTTTCCTCTCAAATTTACAAACAATTAAACTGACCTAGAAAAAGCAAGTACTATTGGATAAAAGTATTCTAAATATAAATATTTTAATTTATCTCTTTAGGAGCCACCTACAAATCAATTTTCTGTATTATACGGATCCCCAGTGAATAAAGCAAACAACATTTGACTAAGAGCTTACTAATTTACTAGACAGTATGTTTAATAACAAACTATCTAATCAAATGCAAAGAAAAAGGTAGGTACCACTTATTAATCCCACTTTGTAAACAGGAAACAAAGCTTTGGAATGTAATGCTTAGACCAGGAAAGGAAAACAAGCCAACAAAAATTCTAATCCCCTTGTTTGTACAAAGATCATCTTGGGTTTACCTATTCTGTCCAGTCCTTCCCTGGAAACATACTGCATTGAGACAGCAAATGTCAAAAACTTACTATCCAAGACTGTGTACAAACAAAAGAAAAAGCCAAGAATTGTCATTTAAAAAATGAACAGAAAATAGAGGCAAAATCAGAGATGATTCAAGATATTAAATTAAGCAAAAATGTTCAGAAGGTTACACACACACACACACACACACACACACACACACACACACACACACACATATATATATATATATATATATATATATATATATAAAATTGGAGTCCAAGATTACTGGAATAGGAGAGAAGTAACATTCAAGAGGCATGTTGATGTGACTCAAGCAAGAAATGCCAAGTGGGCTGGGTGGTGGTGGAACACACCTTTAATCCCAGCACTCAGGAGGCAGAGGTAGGCAGATCTCTATGAGTTCAAGGCCAGCCTGGTCTACAGAGCGAGTTCCAGGACAGGCTCCACAGCTACACAGAGAAACCCTGTCTCAAAAAATAATAATAATAAATAAAATAAATGCCAAGTGGAACTCTAGAAATGAACAGGGGAATGAAGGGTACTTGAATGAGTACTCAGGTTGATATACAAATGAATGTTATTGTATAAAACAATACCTAAAGTAGCTTGTAAAACTTAAAATATACATAAAATTAAACAAGTGATTTCTAAATTATCAGCAGGCAAAATGAAAAATGATAAACTATGGAATACCCTCCCCTCCTAAATTTATGGAGATTAAGAAAGCCAAGCCTATGAGCTACACTACTGCCTGAGTTTCAATATTAAGATGTTCATTTTCTTTATAATATAGTCCTTAGGAAAAAAAATGTCCATTACAGGTTAAGGCAGATGTTCTCAATCCCTTTGGGGAGAGTTGCACATCAGATATCCTGCATATTAGATATTTACATTATGATTCATAACAGTAGCAAAATTATAGTTATAAAGTAGCAATGAAAATAATTTTACAGTTGGTCACCACAACATGAGAAGATGTATTAAAAGGTCACAGCATTAGGAAGGTTGAGAACCACTAGGTTAAGGATCCTAAAATTTATATAGTTAGGCAAAGGACCAATAATAATGTTCCAGTTACAATAGCTGTACAAAAAACTGCCCCCCAAACATCATGAAACAAAGCTATTTTGTCTATGGTCTCCAGTTATTTGCATGTGAAATTCAATCACAGCATTAAGACTTCTTTATTATTCTGTGATATCTGAGGCTTTAGCTAGGAAACTTATAGGGGCAGGGTGTGGAATAATCTGAGAAGTCTATAGTCACATGTACAGACTACTTTTCTAAGAGGCTAGAGTGGGCTTCCTTAATACCATTGTAGTTAGTTTCCTCTTAAGTGGAGGAAAGATCAAGGACCTGGGAAAAAAACTGTGTCATCATTTTAAATCCTAGCCTCAGAAGTCATACAGTTTTACTACCATCAAACTGGGCTAGAGTAGTTCCCATCCAGATTCAGGAATAAGGAATATAGACTCCAATTCTTACTGGGAGGGGAATATCAAAGTCCCACTTAAAACAGGCCATGTGGGAAAATACAATCTTCTATATGATACATGGCCACAATAATCTTAGGGAGAAAGTTTAAGTGCATTCAAAACTTACAAAACTACAGTATGACATAGGGCCACTTAATTTAAAGATTTATAAAGCTACAATATTCAATAAGGTGTTACATTGACCCAAGTATACACAAAAATATTAATTGAAAACAAAAGTCTAGGAATAGATTTATACATACTATTATATGATTTTTCCTAACAAGATACACCAAGGTAATTCTACAGTAGAAAGCAAGTCTTCTCAGTTGTGTTAGAAGCAGTATTCATTTTTTTTCTAAAGAAAGGGTCTACCTTACATCATACACAATAAAACAATCTATGTAACATAACAGTAACAGATCACCACTATGTTTTAGAAAATATCGTTGAAAACAAAAGATTTTTAAATGTAATTTTATCAAGCTCATTCACTCAGTAGATGGCTCCAGTCAAAAGTGGGATTTAAGTTGGGTGTAGTGCCATGTGCCTGTAATGCCAACACTGAGGTTGAGTGAGGCAGGAGGATTGCTGAGTTTGAAGCCAGACCGGTCTACACAAAATTCTCTGTTGGTGGGTGGGATGGGGTGGATAAAAATCAGAATGCCTTCTAGCCCACTCAATTTCATCAGTCGCTCACTAAACACTGCTAAACAAAATTTACAAGTCTTGTCTATGGACCAAGGAAAATAATGATAATTACTATAAGCACTACAATTCATGTAAGCCTCAAGACTTCTCAAAAATTCCTAGGTACTCTCTTTAGCAATTGTATCACATGCGCTGGTTAATGAATTGACTGATTTAACGTTAACCAAATTTAGAGTAAGAAGCATAACTTAAATTAAGTGCTCTACTGGAGTTTTCTCTTGAGTAGGCCGACCTATACCTTCTACTATTTTCAAAAACATCAATAATACAATTAGGAAAGCACCAACGAAAATGAGGACTGCCAGGCATTTGAGAGGCACATCCTAAGCAACAAAATGCTTGTGTCGGGAAGCCAAATCGCTTGAGAACAGGAACTCAATCTCTATAGGATACCTCGGTAGGGGAGGTGCTAGCTGGCTGGAGGAGCTGAGCAGAGATAACATCTCAGGATAGCTCTGCTACTACCCTGAGCATGACCTTGGCCAGGCCCCAGAGCACCCACCGGAAAAGTCTCCGAGCCATCCTGTCCGGGCGCTACTGAGGCTCCCCGCGGCAGAAAGAATGCTGCAGGCCCTCGGCCATCCCTCATCCTAAGCCAGGAAGGTGATTCCACCCTGGCCCCTCCACGCGCGCTCCCGCCTTTACCTTGACTGGTCGCGGCCATTTTGGGGGAACTAGTATCGCGAGGACACAGCTGCAGATCGCGAGACCAAGGACAGGCATTAGTCATCCGCAGCTGGCTTCCGGCAGGTGAGGCATATATTTCCAGTCCCCTGGCAGAAAAAGAGGGCGGGGCTTTCCTGTCCCGGAGCAGCTGCTTCACCAACCTCAGCTGCAGTCCCACGCACGCGCAGAGGAATGCTTACTATCCACCAGAAAGCCTTTTCGCCTTAGGGATGACAGGGTTTATTTTCGCTTTATTCTTTTATTTCAGATTGTGCGTATTTACGTAAGCAGTGAGCTTACGTAATTCTGGCGCTCGTTCCAACGCTGTTTCAGCGCTGGAAAACATATCTTACACATTTTTAAAGCATTCCAAGTACATTAATAATAAACACTTGTATTATAATGGCTGCTTCTTGCCCCTCTTTCAAGTTTATATATATTTAAAGAGAATTATTTTTATATTATGTATATGGATGTTTTGCCTGCATATATGTCTGTGCAGCATGTGTGTGCAGTAAGTACCCACAGAGGCTAAAAGAGGGCATAGGATCCCCTAGAACTGGAGAGGGATGTGATACAGATATCGCAATTAGAGCTGAGACCTTCATTGTCTCTTATTCTCTGTACACTTACTAGTTGTGAGTCTTTGCAAAAAGAAGCTTCTCAGATGAGGGTTGAAAGATGCCCTATTTTGTGGGTATAATGGTAAGAAATTGGGGGTGGGCACTATATTTCTGTGTGCATTTAGGAAAGCAGTAGTATTAGGTTCTTCCCTTAGGCAGCCATGGAGTTTTGGCCCCGTAACAGGTATGAGTTCCATCTTGTTGAGTGGGCCTTAAATACAAGCATAAAGTGATTGGGAGTATCTTGCCATGCCAGACATTATCGTAGCTCACAGGGTTCATAGCTGTTGCATAAGACTGTTGGTTACTTGTCTCCCCAAATAGCATGCATATAACCTTACTACACTGTGAAATCTTGTCAGTGGGGGTAAAGCTGTTTGGTTTTTTTTTTTCTGTCTTTCTCCCCCACCCCGCATCTATTTTTGTTAGCTAGGTCAGTGTCAGCTTGATTTCCCCATGTTTTATGACCCAGGTATGTTGTATCTTCAGCAATAGGGTCTTACCATCAAGTTCTGTAGAATAAGTGCCAGTAACGTTGGCAATAGCCTATAATGTTTGGATGTTTATGGGGCCATTAACTCCAAAGGAGTTAACCCATTCCTGGCACTGGGCGTTATATTTATTAGCTTGTGGTGTTTAGTAGGGGCATTGTCACCCTGTTGTAGGGGAAACTCCATTTGAACTCTTATGTATATATACATGTATATTTTAGAAAGCTACAGTAATAGGTTTCCATATGACCTTTTCAAATAACTTTAGTGTTAGTAATCACTCCCCATACTCCCTTCTCTATCTGGCCCTCCCATCCTTACCCTCACTTAACCCTTCTTGTTCAATTAGTCCTCTTCTCTTTTCCTATCACCTGCAGTCTATCTCACTTCCCTTGAAATCTTCCTTCCCTTGCTGGCCCTGGCCTTCTTTCCTGGTCTCTATGGATACAACAATTTAAAAACACATATCTAAAGATTCAGAGTTGACATTCACATATGAGAGAGAACCTGAGATATTTGTCTTTCTGGGTCTAGGCTACCTGACTGAGAATAATTATTTCCACCTCTATCCAATTACCTGTAAATGTGATAATTTCACTTTTCTTTACAGGTGAATAATATACCATTATATGAATGTACCACATTTTCATTATCATTCCTCAGTTGATGTACACCCAGGCTCTTTCCATTTCCTGGGTATTGTGAATTTAATAGCAATTAACATGGATATACAAGTATCCCTATAGTAGGATATAGAGTCCTTTTGGATGTATGCCCAAGAGTGATATAGCTGGGTCATATGGTAAGTTTGTTTCTAGCTTTTTGGAGAGGGAGGGTGTCTTAGTTAAGGTTTCTATTGCTGTGATAAGACACCATGACCAAAAGCAATGTGGAGGTGACAGGGTTTATTTTAGCTTATACTTCCAGATAACAATCCATCATTGATGGAAGTCAGGGCATAAACTCAAGCAGGGCAGAAACCTGGATGCAAAAACTGAAGCAGAGATCATGGGGAAACACTGCTCCTTATAGCTTTATCAGCTGCTTTCTTATGCAACTCAGGACCACCTGTCCAAGGGTGGCTCTGCCTGTGGAGACCTGAGGCCTCCCATATTAATCATTAAATAAGAAAATGCCCAGCAGACTTTCCACAGGTCACCTGATGGCAACATTTTTTCCTACTGATGTTCATCTTCACAAATAACTCTAGTTTATGTTAAGTTGACAAAGTAACAACAACAAACAGGACAGAGGACACAAGTATCTTACCTGGGTCTTTAGGTCATGTGGGCAGCTGGAGAATTTCTGTGGGGAAAGCAGGCTGGGATCTGGTGTATCCCAAAGGGGGCTGCTACAGAGAAGCTTATACATTTCATTCAGATTCCGGAATCTTCGCCATCTATAGTTTCTTTGCTGCTGGTACTGAGGAAGAGACTTTTAGAACAGTCTAGGAATCTGAGTACAATTGAAACCTCTTCTTCAGCATTCTGTTCCTTTCTCAAGTATTCAAATTTGGGAGGATGCTCTCGGAGGGGAATGAGTTAAGCCTTAGCTCAGCCACCCTTTTCCTGTTCCAGTTTTTCCTGTGCCTGTTTCCTACTGTCAAAAAGGAAGCAATCCTTTCAGTTCTACTTAGTGCTAATGCTACTGTCACTCTTAGAAGATAAACTTCCATAAAATCCTCTGCAAAATATTTAAGAGTTTTCACTAAATCATAAAAATTTTACGTTTTTTCTTCTCGAGAGCTAAAGCTATTTTACAGAAGAGTTAATTTTTCACTTCTCTAGGTGAACATTTTCTAGTAATAAAAGCCATGCAAATAGCACTTTTCACTTGCTTCTTTCTGAGCCTTTTCTATTTCTGCTCTAGTGCCACCAGAAGATATTACCTGGGTGCAGTGGAACTATACTGGAACTATAGGCAGAGTGACCTGCTCAATGTGCTGCATACGGACACAAGGTAAAAATGCTCTGTTGAGTGTAACATTGTGAGGATATGACTTCGACTAGAAGAAGGTGCAGACACTAGGCAAGGGTGGATAGCTAATAGTTAAGTCCTTCAAACATTTGCAGGTAATGTGTGCATGCAGTCTGATTATTTGCACCATGATGCTTGCCATTCCTTCTCAGGGACCTAAACTTTTCATTGATTTTTGTTGTTTGCTCATTGATTCTTTGTTGCATGCTGCCACTGTGATTTAGAGACAAGGAGAGTGAAAAGGCAAGGAGCATGGGAGAGAAAGAGTAGAATTTCCCTTGGCCTAACCTAACCTTCCATAGAAAGAACTGGAACAGTGAAATTCGCAGGAGTATGCATGTGATAGACTTTTTATATGATATTTGCCATGGCATTAGAAGCTTTTCATCTTTAGGAAGGGATTCTGGTTTATCTGATAAGATTAGACCATTAAATGAACTCCTCAGTATTATAGTGGTCATTGACTTATTTCAGTTTTTCCTCTTCTTAAATCTATTACACCTTGATTTGATAAAGTATTGAAACTGAATTATATACTAGTCTCTGATTTTGTTAAAGTACTGTCTGTACTTATATCTCCTTTGTCATTCTTGATCTTTCTCTCCCTCTACGTCCTTCTCTCTTTTTCTTTCCTCCTTTTAAAAACAATACTTACAGGACATTTCCTGATTTTATTGGTTTTTGTCAATAAATATCTTTTGGGTTGATTTATCAATTTCTTTCTATTACTTCAGTTTCTGCTTTTTAATTTCATTAATCAATTCTTTCTAATTTTATTTGGATCACTTTGTTATTCTTTTTCTTACCAAGTTGAATGCTGAAATTACCTATTTTACATTTCACTGTGGTTTTTTGTTTTGTTTTGTTTTGTTGTTGTTTTGTTTTTGTTATTCTTTTTCTTACCAAGTTGAATGCTGAAATTACTTATTTTACATTTCACTGTGGTTTTTTTGTTTTGTTTTGTTGTTGTTTTGTTTTTCCAGGCAAGGTTTCTCTGTGTAATAGCTCTGGCTGTCCTGGAACACACTTTGTAGACCAGGCTGGCCTTGAACTCACAGAGATCCACCTGCCTCTGCCTCCCGAGTGCTGGGATTAAAGGTGGGGGCCACCACCACCCGGCTTATTTTGTAATTTTTTTTTGTTTTTTGTTTTGTTTTGAAACAGGGTCTCACTTTGTTGTTGTTGTTGACTGTCATGGAACTCACTTTGTATACCAGGCTGGCCTTGAACTCACAGAGATCATCCTGTCTCTGCCTTCTAAGTGCTGGGATTAAGGGCATGCACCACCACACTAGGCTTTCATTGTGTTTCTTTAAATGTGTACTATAAAGGTTTAAACAGAGACAGGAATATGAAAGCAGAAAAATCAAGAGTTCAATCCAGGTTTGACTACATAGTGCGTGCATGGCCAGCCTGAACTACTGGTAACCCTATCTCAAAATACCAAAAGAGAGAAGAGGGATTTAAACACAGTGTATATATTATATTAATGTAAATGCTACATAGAGTTATATCATAAATACGGCATAAGTATTTTGTGTTGTGTTTCACTTCCTCATTCCTCTTCCACATCACTTAGTCTTGTTCAACACACACACACACACACACACACACACACACACACACACACACACACACGAGTTTTGCTTGGTCATTATTAATTTTAAAAAACTGGGATATTATACATACTTTACATACTTCACTCAGTAACGCCTTGTAGAATTCTCTACACATCAGTAGATACAACCTTACTTCATTCTTTTTAGTATCTGTATAGGAGCTGTGTCATACAAATAAACACATTCATCTCATTACCATTTTGGGGGGTGGGCTCTATCCTATATCATAGTTTACTGATGTAGTCATCATTCACTCACTCATTCACTCCTTTTTTGGTACTTGGGGTAGACTTCAGGGCCTCCTATTTTATTCATGAGTGCTTTATCACTGAGATACAGTCCCAGACACATTGTTGTTATTTTAGCAGATTCTCTGGTGGTATCATGCTAGAACAAATGAAACAGATGTTTTAGTTTTCGTTTTGTTTTGTTTTTGAGACAGGGTCTCTCTATATATAGTTCCAACTGGCCTGGAACTCACTTTGTAGACCAGGATGACCTAGAA